ACGTGCGGTTGGGTACCATTATCCAGTTGCGTGATAAGCCACAGCGCTGTGCCCCGTTTTCAGCACACTGTCGTTTACAGCACTGCGTTTGTTGAGATGTGTGTTGCTCTCGTTTCGCATCGCCCCTCTCAACCGCCTCTCAACGAGCTCTCTCAACGAGCGACTCGAAATCAGATTCTCAGATCATTCGACCGTGTCGCATAATTCGCTTAAAACGTTGCCACGATGGGTGTTGTCCGCAAAGTATTCGCCGGCTCTGGACGTCGACATACTGAACAAGCGAATGGCGGCATACTCAGATATCCCGAGTGTCACGAGGTGGGTGAGCTTGGCCAAGCCTCCCGTACATATGTATATTCCGGTCTTGAGCCTTTGAACCCAGTTGCTTGCGCATCGCCAACGAGTTCACTTTTGATTTTTCCACGTGCGCCTCCGACACCATGGTCTCGCTCGTCGCGGCGCTCGTCGGTGTGCTCGTTGCTGCTATCCATGCGAGTCCACAGCCGATTGAGATTGGGTATCCCGTACCGCTGCACCTGCGCGCCAACAGCTCTGCGTCCTTCCACTACACGATTCGTCGCGACGGCGCCAGCTTCCTCGCCGTTCATTTTACTGTCCTGGCGCTTCCCCCAACGGCGACGGTGTCGCTTGCGTGTGCCGACGGCTCGAAGCACATGGAGCTCATTGGCGCACGCAATGACTTTTACACCGAGTCGTTTCCGTGTTCTACCATCGACATTGCCTACACCGCCCCGACGTACACGGCAGCGAATGCATCGGTGTTTGAGATCGACCAGGTGATCCACGGTACGCCCGACCCGTCGTCGTCGGGGCCGCTCGAAACCATCTGCAGCATCTCAGACGAGTCGCGGGCGGTGGCGTGTCTTGAAGGGCTCGAGCCCGTCAAGTATAAAACGAGCCGCGCCGTGGCCCGCCTTCGTCTTAGCGGCGGGCGGGGATGCACGGGCTGGCTCTTTGGCTCGGAAGGGCACATGCTCACCAACAGCCACTGCATCAACTCCGAGCGGGGCGCCGCCAACACCCAAGTCGAGTTTGACGCGCGTTGCAGCACGTGCAAGGACCCACAGAACAAGGTCGCGTCTGCTTGCCCTGGCACCGTCGTCGCCAGCAGCGTCAAGCTCGTGGTTTGGGACGAACTCCTCGACTTTGCATTGGTGAAAATCGACAACCCAAGTGTCGGCCTCGCGCAGTACGGTTACCTTCAGGGCCGCGACGCGCCCCCCGCGCTCGGAGAGCACATTTGGACAGCGCATCACCCCAAGGGCTGGCCAAAGCGCTTTTCTTTGACCTACAACGGCGACGTGCCCACGATTACGGACTTGGACAAAGCCAGCTGCATGCCCAATTTCAAGTATACAGCGAAGGGCTCGATCGGTCACTTGCTCGATACGGCGGACGGCTCCTCTGGCGCGCCGATCCTGAGCACCAAGGACAACGCAGTCATTGCCTTGCACAACTGCGGGCTCTGCGATGATCGAGGCGACGTCAACGGCGGCATCAAGATGAGCAGCATCATCCAGTTCCTCCGCCAACGCAACCTGCTGCCCAAGAATGCCGTTGTGCCGGGTAGTTCTCCCACGGTAGCTCCGACACCCGCTCCAACGTCCACCCCGACAGCTGCCGAAACCACAGGCCCGACGACCGCCCCGACGTCTACCCCTTCTGCCAACTACCTTCGCCTCTGCACCTTCTCCAAGCGCGGCGTCTTCGAGTGGTACCGCGCTCTCTACGCCGACGTTATCGAGCTCAGCCCCAACGCCCAGTTCGACTACAACCCGACGTCGGGTGCCATTAGCGTCCGCAGCAACCATGAGTGCCTCGACGCGTACGAAGCCAACGGCGCCTTCCACCTCCACACGTGGGCGTGCGCCTCGGACAACGTCAACCAGCAATGGACTGTCGAGGGCGACCGCGTCCGCCACCGCAAGCACAACGTCTGCCTCACGACGACGGCGTCGACGACCATCGACGTGGCCACGTGCAACTCGCAGGACCTCCGCCAGCGCTTCTCGACGGCGTGCGACGGCCCCGTCCGGTCGTTCGTCAAGCTCCGGACGCCCAAGGGTCTCTACCTCTCCGAGTGGAACTCGGGCGTGTACGCCAACGGCCAAGTGTTCAACGTCAACGAGCTCTTCGAAGTCGATGCGTCGACGCAGCAGATCAAGGCGGTCAGCAACGGCCAGTGCCTCGACGCGTACACGCAGGACGGCCGTCTCCGCGTGCACACGTACACGTGTGACGCGTCGAATGGCAACCAAAAGTGGCGCGTCACCAACGGCAAGGTCGAGCACGCGACCCATACGGGGCAGTGTCTGGACGTGGACCCGACGGACCCGCACCACAACGTGCAAATGTGGACGTGCATTGCCGGCAACGACAACCAGCGCATCGAGCTCGTGCCGCAGAACTAAGAACTTACGAGCGATGCTTTTGTCTCTATATCTATGGTTTTGCGCATCATGCGTGGCAGTCGCTGGGTCAAAAGATACGATCTCAACGTGCATGATCGTGCGACGGGTTAGTAGAGCCACCGAGGCGCGTACGTCTCGTCGTACTCGATCACGGGCGAGAAGAACTCGATGAACTGCTGGTCGAGGAGGCGCATGCGCGGCCCGGCAAAGCGGCAGTACTCGTCGATAATGGACGTGAGCGACCAATGCTGGATCTTGCGGAGGCAGCCGATGACGCAGCCCGTGCGATGCTAGAGCAGCAACGTAAGCACAAACAGTTCGCTCACCACGCGTCGTGTACCGTGCCCTTGGTGCACTGCACGAGGATCGGGTGGTTCCGGGCATCTACGAGGTTTGTGAGGTGCTATCGAGAGCGGCGGGTGCACCGAGCAAGTGCGTCAGCGCCGTGTTCATCGAGTCGGGGTCGATGCCAAGAAAGGGCTCCTACGTGGCCGTGCATACTCGATGCGGACGTCGGTACGCGCACCTTGTTGCCGTCAATCGGGCACTGAAACACTTGGATGCCATTTTCCTCAAAGAAGACGAGGTTCTCGGGGCGGTGCTCCTGGTGGCAGAGGTACAGCACCGAGCGCAGCCCGAGCTGCTGCAGGAACGCGTGGTTCTTCTTGTTCGGGAAGCCGGACCGGTACACGCCCGAGTCGACCATCGAGAAGTTCAAGGGCGGGATCAGCGTCTTCTCGTAGACCGACATGCTGCTGCGGCGACGACGACGGATTGCGAATTGGCCGTTTGCCGCAGCCAATCACAGCTCGGGACGCTGGCCCACGGTTCGATCCCGCTGCCAAGCTCGAGGCACGACAGCAAAAAAAGGATACATCTGGACGCTAAATCATCACTGTCGCTGGCACCGTCGACGCGCATGAGGAGCGCGGGACGAGGACGGGCAAGCGAGGCGGCGGCAGGTCGCCGTATCTAGAAAGGCGGGCCTGGGAATTTTAGCCAATGGCATCGCGCGAAATCGCACCTTGCCGTTGCGGAACCACTTCCAAAACGAGATGGCGTCGACGGTCGCGCTCAAGATTGGCTTCAAGGGCGAGATCCACCGCATTCGCATCGACCTACCGGCCTTTGGCTACGACGACCTCGTCGCGCTCTTCGAGGCCACGTTCCAGCTGCCGCTCAGCACCTTTGCGCTCCAGTACAAGACGCAAGACGCGACCTTTGCCAGCGTTGCGAGCGCCGCCGATTTCGACGCAGCGTGCGCGGCGCAGGCGAGTGCGGGGAGCTTGCGCTTCTTTGCTGTCTCCAAGACCGAGGCGACGCTTCACGAGAATGTCTCGGAAGGCATCCGCAAGGCGTTGGCGACCATCTCGGGCGCGCTCGACAAGGTCAAGCACGAGCCATGGGTGCAGGACACGGGCGCCGCGATAAACCACGCCTACACCAAGACATTTGAAGAGTCCAAGTCGACATTGGCGAGCGCCAAAAAGTCGCTCCAAGACATTGAAGTCGACAAGCTTATGGAGGAAACCAAAGTCAACCTGCGCACCGTCGCGACCGGCGTCTCGGCGTATGCCCAAGACTTGGTCGAGAGCCTCCAAAAGAAACCCGCGGCGGCGGAAACAACGGCGCCGCCGCCCGTCGACGCCAAGTGGACGTACCAGCTCGCGACCATCCGCGACATCCTCCCGGACGCGGCCGACGACGTGGCGATCGCGGCGCTCGAGCGCGCCAACGGCGATGTCCAAGTTGCGCTCAACGAAATCATGTCGGCGTAGTCGCACCTCTGTACTAATACACGTTTTTTCGACGAGTCCATTCGAGTTTACCCATATATGCGAGTCATACTCAAAGGGACAACGACCAAGTGCCTGCGCCGACGCGCGCACATGTGCCACGTCGTCGGAGCTTGCGTTTCATGCGCAACACAAGTGATGCTTGTATAGATTGATAATTAGATAGAACATGGTGCGACAGGTCACAGACTCTTGGCGAGACCCGCAAGCGTCGCGTCGTCCAACATGTCCATGCTGTCGTCGCCAGGATGTGCCTCGTCGTCCCAGAGGCCGTCCATGAGGTTCAGCTGGTCGAGGCTCGTGAGCTCGACCTTCTTGGCGGCTGTCACTGGCGCTTGTACGAGATTGCGCCACGGCTAGCACGATCCCGTCAACCTCCTTCGTTTGCAGTGTACACGCACCTCTTTCTCGTTGGGCGCGAGCGACCGCCAGAGCTTGCTCGCCTACACGCCGTTCGATCCCACGGTATGACGCGAATGCAAACCCACCTTGTGGACGAGGTCGTTGTGCGTCAAATGCGGCTCGGTCGCCAAGAACTCGTGCTTCTTGGCGTGTACAAAGAGAGCAAAGCCCGATGTTGCTGTTGGCAGCGGGCCCTACACGCACGGTCTACAGCCTCTTCTTCGAGTAGGTTGTACCGCCAACGTCTCGCGCGGCGAAGCTCCGTTGAGCGACTAGACCACCGAGATCAGAGGCCTTCGAAAATACATAGAGCGCACCATGGTCTCGGGGGTCGTCGCCCCGGCGTCCGACTCGGCCTGCTCCGCTTCGTATCGCCGCACATCGTCGTTGGCGAGCGCCCTCCACGTCGCCTTTGCCGTCTCGGGCAGCTCACGCCACTCTTTCGCAATCGCTACCATGTACTCGTTGTACGGACGATCTTGGTACCGACGGCGGTTCTCGAGCTCGTAGTGCACAAACGCCGACTTGGGGTACTTGGCTCTTTCGCGCCTGGCCTTTTTGACCTACAATATCGGTCAACGCCAAGTGTGTCGACGTCAACGCTGTACTACTGTGCGTGGGAGCATCGCAGCCGCGCGCTTCTTGGCGCTTTTTCTAGTGGGCGTGTACCGGCGCATCTCGGCTTCGTACCGCGCCTTCTCGAGCTCGGCCAAGTGCGTAAAGTGGGTCTTCTCCGCACTCGACATGGCGCGCCAGAGCGCTGCCGACTCCTTTGTGAGTGCATTGTACGAGAGATGCGCATTCGCCGCCCGCCGTTGCTCGAGAAAGAGCTGGAAGGCGTGCTTGGGCGGCTTGGGCGCGGCCGAGTCTTTCGGCGACGACTCGGCGGCAGCGTCTTCGGCGGCGGCGAGCGCGATCCACGGCTGCTTCTCGTCCCGTGTGAGCGCGCGCCAGCGCCGCCCCATCTCCTTCCCAAGCGACTGCGGTAAGAGCGTCGGATGCGCGGCCTGCACGGCGGCCTTCTGCGCCCGCCAAAAGTAGAAGAACGCACCATTCGGGTGCTTTCGCTTCAGCGACGCAACGACCGGCGACGTGGGTTGCGCGTCCAAGGCCGAGAAGGCGTCGTCCAAGCCATTGGCCGACGACGTCAGCATGAACGATTGCAAATCCATGTCCAAAAGCGATGGCGTCGCCGCGACTTGGGCCTCGGCCGTGTAGCGTGCTCGGTCGTACGCGGCGAGGTTGGTCCAGACTGCGCGCTCGCTTGGCAAAAGCGCCTTCCAGAGCCGCCCGAGCTCGCGCGAAATGGCGTCGTTGCCCCACGCCGGGTGCGCCTGGACGATCTCGACGCGCTTCCCGTCGGCGAAATGAAGGTACGCATTCCTCCATGGGCGAACGCCGCTAGCCGGTCATGGAGATGATGAGGATGATGAAGGAAGCGCGTCGAAGAGTACCTTGTCGTCGACGTCGTCTTGGCCATGTCGCCGCCCTTTTTCGCCGTTTCTTGAAACTACGATTTCCGGATACTTTGGATCGCACCGGATACGGCGACTTGTCTTTGCCGATTGAGGTGCTGCCGATGCATCGCAAGGTAATAACAGCATCACACTAGTCCATTACTGATCAATACTATGCGGAGACCAATGTTCATCACCTAGTCACGAGACTATAAGGTCCTTGAGTTATCCACAGAATGGGTCTAGGAAATTGCTCCAGACAATTTTGAGGTCATCGATCCGTTTGGATGGATTGACGAGACCCACGCCGTAAGGACACCCGTGGCCCAGCGCAAAAACGTAATTTGCATCGCTAACAAAGGCAAATCAACTCCGCTTCACCAAGGTGGTTGCTCGTGGGCGTTGGAGGGTCGAATACCAGACATTGCAGCATGAAGATCATGAACGGCCAAGCGGTCAACTTGACTTGGATGGTAGTTAATACGCGCCGTACATCTGATGCACAATGGCCCGCGGAAGCTCCTGGTCCTGCGCTAAAAATATCGTTTCAGTCGGACCCGTTTCCCGCGCTCGACGCTCGTGCCGCCACGTTCGCAGGCGCCATCAAAGTCTCTAACAATGAGTACTTTGTACTAATGATATCTAGATTTTGTATATAAATACCAATGCCCAAACTCATTACCTTGGAGAGTCGATATCCTTCAGCAACAGATCCTACTGCTCAAGCGACGGCGGAGTGGGTAGGGCTGGGGCATTCAAGCCAATCACAACTCGACTATGCATTCTGAGAGGCTTTTAAAAACCTTTGTAAATGCATAGATGCGATTTGAATGGCCAGCAAGGCGACGGCGCGCCGTGTCTGCTTCATGAATTCTCATTTTCAAATTTGCAGTAGAAGAGTAACTAGTACCTAGTCGAGTCGGAAGCACATGATATTTTTCAATCAGCTACTCTGAAAGGGCTTTAGTCGGCCCGCAAAACCATGTAGTCAAAAGGATCTGATGCTTCCCAAATACACTCCTCATACTTTACCTTAGAACCACAAGCGACACCAATCTGCAGTAGCAACTAGTTAGTAGCAACGTCGACAACGTCGAGTGCAAATGAAATTCATCTGAATCGCTACACTTAAATGAGTATTCAGCTCAGCTTGATGTGGACTTTCACTAATATGATGCACTCAAACTCAACACGCTGCGAGCCAATTTAGGAACTCATTGAGAATCTATTGTTCTGGTCGTTATCTTCATCCTACTGCAACACCCGTCGCACGGGGCGTGACTGCAACCGAACTGCAAAGAGAATTCTCAACAGGAGCTGGTGGCACAGGAGGAGGCTTCGGAATCAAAAACGGGCGTCAGCATATGCCACTCGGGCTTTTCCGTCGGGTGGATGTTCACACCACTGGCGATATTCTTCTGGAGTGCTTGTGCGTGGCGCCATCACAAGGAGATGCTGCCTCTGATCACGCGAAGACATGGCTGGTCTTGGCTACTTGCTGGCGTCAGTGCCCAAGACCATGTCTCGTCGCCGACAAGTACAGTAGCCGATGTAAAGAAGACGCACGCATTGGACGACTACGAAACATGTTCAAGCAGAGAAGTTTAAGGACAAGCGGTGTGAGTAGTGTACGAGTGAGGACCCTCGTAGGAGGTAGTAGACATATCCAAGACAACGACGAGGTGACTACAGCGGCCGGCCGACGAGGTTCATGACAAAGTCGTAAATCTTCTGGAGCACGGTCGTGTCGAGGACGCGGTACTCGGACGCGAAGGCCATGAGGCGCCGCCAACACAGCGTGAGGTGGCCCGACATTTCGAGCTGTGCAAAGTGGCGCAAGTGCACCCGGTATAAATACACGTAGACGTGGAGCATGCCTTGGTAGACGTTGTGGACCTTCTCGGCGTCGCGGGCGTCGTCGTCACGGACATGGGCGTCGAGGCGCGCCATGAGCACGTCCATGGTCGCGGCTTCATCCGAGAGCACGCGCATGTCCGAGACAAGGTTGTAGAGCACGCTCACTTCGCTGTAAAAGTCGGCCGCCATCTCGGCAGCGATCGCGAGGGCCTCGGCCTCGGACTGGAGCAGCGTCGGCTCGAACGCGGTTGTGAGTACGTCGGCGTCGAGGACCGGGAGCGGCTCGTCGCGCTTGCGCAGCTTCTCGGACGGAGGTTGCGAGCTCATCGAGTGCCACCGCGCGCTGTCTCGCCGCCTTTTGCTTCCGGAGGCAGATCCGCTCATGCCACCGAGTTGCACGCACGTTGCTTGCAGCATGGCGGACTATGGCGCCGGCGTGGATTACCAGTAATGATCTTGATCCGCCATCTTCACCCGCCCGATGCCATTGGCGCAGAATGCAAGCCGCCTGCGATGCCATTGGACGAAATGCGATACCGCGGGGTAGGGCCCCAAATTTTGCACTGTGGAATCAGCCGACCGAAATTTTCGATAGCGTTTGTATGGGCGGTTTATATGCCGAAGTTCGAAGCCATCCTCAAAGCGAAGTTCGAAGCGTGAACTATTTTTAGACACGGTGATGCGTTGCCGTCGGCGCCGCCACCGACTCGTTGACACCGACACCGACACCGATCGTCGCCAACACCGACACCAATCTTCGCCGACGCCAACACCGATCGTTGCCGGTGGTTGCCGACGCTCGGCGGTGCTGTCTGCGGTGGCGTCGATGGGCCTTGAGTGAAATTCGCACTAAAACACGTGGCACCGGCTTGCATGGAAGGATCCGAGCACTTGCTCCCTGCTTCTTCGGCCGCGACCAGCTTCTTCGACGTATCACGCCGTCTTCCATCGATTCGATGGCAAGCACGACTGGACCAAGGCCAAGGAGCCCGACCTGGGAAACGGCGGTCGATGCGCTTGGCCGATTGTCGACCGGCGCGTTCGCCTTCGAAAAGGTAGCTTTTTCGGCCAGAGGCCAAGTAGAATGCTGCATGGGTCGTTGTTGATTGCTGCGTCGCTCGTTGGCTACATGGCCTACGTAAGCATCCAGCCGACGCTTCCGACGTGCGTTAACTGGGACGCCACGACCTTGACGAATCTCCAGACTGCGCGGCAGCCGGTGCGGCTCGTCGGGTCGCCCACCAGCACGCACTGGAACACATCGCACTGGACGCTCGCGCACGTCGTGTCGCGGCTGCCCGCGTCCGTGTCGATGCAGTACGCGCCATCAAGCGTCTTTCGCCACTACGATCCGAACATGGAACTCGCGCCGCGCTTCCCGCCCACGTCCCAAACAACGACGGTTGTGCGGGAGGACGTGCTGGCTCTTCTTGATGCGACTGGCGATGGCAGCTACTACCTCAACGACGAGCTGCACCGTCTTGCACCCGACTTGGTGCCGGACGTGCCACTGGCAGGCCTCGTCGGTCCGGCCGCCGCCTCCTCGGTCATGGTCAAGCTCTGGCTTGGCGGACCACATGTCGTCGCCAACCTGCACTACGACGCCACCCACAACCTCTTCCACCAGGTCGTCGGCTCCAAGCGCTTCCTCCTCTTCCCACCCAGCGCCCACGCGTCCTTGTACCTCTTTTCGCGTCTCCACCCGAGCCACCGGCAGTCGCAGCTCGATTTGACGCGTCCACGAAGCGAGCTGGTCAAGGCTTTTCCCGCCTTTGACGACGTGGAAGAGATGCTGCTGGACATCACACTCGCGCCCGGCGAGTCGCTCTACTTGCCGCCGTTCTGGTTCCACTGTGTGCTCACTACGACGCCATCAGTCTCGGTCAACCTCTGGACGGACGCCGAGGAAGTCGGCTTCCTTGCCAACGCTTTGGCGGACCCCGTGCCCTACTTGGCCAACCTCGAAGCGTCCGGCGTGGTGCACGATCTCAACTCGCACCTCGGTCACCTCCAGCTCTTCGTGCGCCTCGTCCTCTCACGTTGCGTGCTGGATACCCAGACAGCTCTGCAGCAGCTGGTCGCCAACCAAGACCGGTACTTGCCGCGCGTGCACGTCACCTGCGGTGTCCTCACCTCACCGATGATAGCCGAGGCGACGCTGCAGCCGTATGTCGATGCGCTTGTGGCTGCGTCGTTCGACCGCATGGGCGACGACAGCGCCAAGACGCTGCTTGTTCTGAGCTACGTCGAGGCGCTTCTCGCTCAGTTTATGGCGCCAACGGTCGTCGGAAACTTCTTGGCCCAGTGTGTTGCCCCCGAATAATCCAACCACAAGCAACGTGTCTGCATTGGTGACTTGGCGTCGCGGCTCTAAGTGCTGTGGTTGCGCGCGTCGAGCTTGGCGATGAATTCGAGGTGCGGGTGGGCGCGCGACGCTTGGTTGGTGTACCACCCGACCGGCAGCGGACTCTGGTCACGTTCGAGGAGCACCGCGTCCCTAACGTAGACACATATCATACGATACGCGGAGATGGAAGCTGCGATACCCCGTGACCGAGATCATGTTGTACACTTGGTTGCGGTAGAGCTGGCTCGACTCGATCGGCACGAGGCGGAAGCTCAGCATTGCATTGCCCCCTAACGCACGGACATGCGCGCGGACAACAGCAATCGCTTCGCTGAGGAAGAGGTGGAAGAAGGCGCCGAGGCCCCCAAGCTCGCGGACGGTCCAGCTCTCCTTGATAAAGTGCAGCGTGATGCGTCCGAGATAGCTACATTGACGCTGCTGTTGCACCATGTAGAGCGAGCGGTTTTGCGCACCGGAGGATCTTGGAACCGGGCACATACGAAAGCGGCGTGAGCTCAATCCATTCGCGGGCACTCGAGCTCTGGTGGAACGGGTTCGGATGCGCATTCGAGAGCGGGCTCGTGGGACGGCCTGTCGGCGACCCGACCGAGACGAACGACGACGACGGGCGGTGCTGCTGGATTTGGAGACGCAGCGCCCGGCGCGCAGACTCGTCCGACTCGTTCTCGTCGTCGTTGTTGCCGTCGCTGGCCGCATGGAACGCGTCTTCGTCGTCTTCGGGTACCGGAAAGTTGAGACTCTGGATGACCACGTCGTCGTCACACGAGTTTTCATGCCCCGAGAGCATCGCCATGCCCATAAGGACAACCTCAATCTACGTTTCGGTATTGAGTCGATGGGTAGCGTACTAAAGTAGGTAGCACAATGTTTTCGCCTGCAAGAGCGACGCGCGTCTTGAGGCCGCAGACGACGCACGGCGCGAACGCCCGAAGCTTGAAGAGGATGCTACGAAATAGGATGAGACTGCGCCCACGGCAAGAAGGAGAGGAACCTCGCAAAGAGGTTTTTAAACACTTGGGAGAAGAGCACGTTGAGGCGCGTGTCCCGCATGTGCTCTTCGTCCCACTCGACGCGCTTCATGGAGAGGAAGAGGTGGATGTTGCGCCCGGGCGACGACGCGCCTGGCAGCCGGTCCGTGTTGTAGATCGAGACGCCTTCAGGCAACGGCTGCTCGAGCAAGACCGACATCAAGTCTTCATCGGTCTCGTCGTCAATCTCGAGCACGAACGGGTGCTTGGCATCGCTACATCCATTGTAACGATGGCCGCATTGCGGTGTGCGATATAATACCTAAAGCCGTCCGGGTTGAAGTCTTCCTCCGAGTCGGACGACGATGACGACGACGACGACTTGGTGTCCTTGTCGTCGTCGAGGCCGTTGCTCTCGTCAAGGCTCACGTTGCTCGACTGCGGCGTCTTGCGCAGGATCGACGCGTCGGCCTCCGAGTCACCGCGCGAAAGACGCATCGCACGGCCCTTGCGAGACCGACGCTTGACTGGCGCGTCGTCCTCAAACAACGGTCGCTGCTTCCACGTCACAAACTCGGGCGCGATCGTGCCCACTGCATCCTTCTTCATCTAATCGCAAGGTTGATACACGTACTAGTAGACAAAATGCAAATTGAAGACGCACCGCGGCGCGGTTTTGGTTGCTAAGACGCTCAATCTGCGACTGAAGCTGCACGAGGCGGCGGTCTTCGTCGTCCTTGACCTACAAAAACCACAAAAATGGTGTGGTCGTCGTCGCATGCACGGCGTACGTCAATGTTGCGCGTAATGCGGAGCACTTGTGGCAGCGGCAGCGCCGGAAGGTACATGCCAGTGCCCGTAATGATGCCAATGACAAACGAGCCGCTGATCTATATCACAGGTCCATCCATATACCGACAACGAAATAGGACGATGGAGGTACCTGCACTTGGGACTCGAAGCCAAAGAGCGAGTTGACGCCAAGCACACGCATCTTGGCCATGAGCTAGACAAAAAATGGTTTGAAAATTACTGAAAAATCACGAAAAATGCAAAGCACACCTGGCGATGGAGCTCGTACTCGAGAAACGGAAGCGCTTCCGACACGATCGTCGCGTTCACGTCGCCCGCGCCGCGACGACGTTGCCTACGAAGCGCGATCTTATGCCTCTACGATCGAAAGAGGATTATACCGGCAGACGCGAGCTTGGATAAATGCGCCCGACCCCGTAAGCGCCATCCCACTGGGCGGCTCGGTGGACGAAAAGAGCATCTCGGGCACCCACTTGCGGCCGCAGATGCCGCAGCGCACCATGCGCATGCTACAATATATATCAATGTATCAACAAACGACGCTGACAACACGAAGTCGCACTTGGAGAAGGGCGCGAGCGAGCGCGAGTACGGAATGTGACATACAAAGCACGGCGAGTCTTGGATCGACTGCGCGTTGCCACGGCGGCGCGGTGCAGGCATCCTAGCACACGCTTCCATCGTATATCTACCATAATGGGGTAATGTACGGGCGAAGCGACGGCGACTGGTCGCTGAGCTCGTCGGTCGATGCCTTGAGGAGCCCATGGTGGCGCTTGGGGCCATACTTGACCACCGCGGCGGTCCCGCTGGCACATACAAAAGTTAGAAAATCACAAAAATTCGATGCGACAAGCAACGTACGTGGCCGAGAGGACGCAGACGTCGTCATGGATCGTGCACGACTCGATGTACCCGACGACGTGCGAGCACTGGAGCGACTGCGCGTGCGACCGGACCTACACAGTCTCCGTCACGGCGATCGGTTTGAAGAAGAGACCGACCTCTTCTCGAAGCTCCATCCACCACGAGTCGCGTGTCTCTTGGTCGACGAGCTTGGTGGCCATGCGTCCGAGAAACTTGACCGAGCGCGCCGTGACGATACCGCCAAAGCGCAAGCGAGCATCGGGCGTGAACGACTTGATCGTCCAGAGTTGCACTTCCTACGTGGTGTTCATCCTAGTGTGTTGCAGCAGGAGGACGCGTACGTCGTGCGCGCCGAGCTCAAAGTTGTCCTTCTTCGTCTTCCAAAACGCTTTGCGCAAGCTAATGGTCGGGAGACGCGGTGACGAAGACGCAGGCTCGATGGCCGCCAGCGACGGCGACGCCGCGGGGCCCGACGTCGACTCGAGGCTCGGCGTTTGCGTATCGTCGTTGTTGAGCGACCGCTTCCCATAGAGACCCGAGAGAAGCACATCCACATCATGCTCGATCGTGCCCAACCCAAGACTCGACTGCGACGACGTGGCGACGACGTTCGGTCCGTCCGGCGGCGGCGCCGGATTCTTTTCCGTCGGCAAGATGAAGCACGCCGTGCCGCATGCGCGCGCGACCATGCCGCTGTCGCCTTCGACGTCAAAGAACTGGCGGTAGCCGAGGACAGCGTTGCCACCGAGCTCCATGGCCTTCTTCCCGACCTACACGCATATGAACCGAGGAATCTGGGAGAGAGCGTACCATGGTCGAGACTTGGGACGAGAGCTTGTAGAGCAGCATTTGCCGGTACTCGTTGCTCTTGCGCGACGTGCGGAAGCTGTCGCTCCACGAGTACTCGGGGTCAGCGTGCACGACGAGCTCCTCGACAAAGCCGAGCGTCTTGTGCATCGTAAAGATATCCGGGTCGAGCGTCGAGAGCGAGAAGAACTGGACGCCCGCGCTGCTCTCGCGGAACGGGTTGATGTCGCCAAAGTAGTGGAGGCGGATCACGAGGCTAAGCTCACCGCGCACGCCGAGGAGCGTGTCGTAGATCGGGTACCAGCCTTGCACGGAGCAGCCGTCCTTCATGAGGATGCAGTTGAGGTCCACGTACACAGCGCCGATCGTCGCGTCCGTCGTGTACACGTCGTGGTCCATGACCTTGAACATGATGGGCTGGCTCTGGAGGACCGCGTCGTCGGCCACGTCGAAGCGGAACTCTTCGTCCCAGCGGGGCGTCAGAGACTTGCGCGAGACGCTCGACCGGACCTCGAACGACGCAAACGTGATGTCCACGTACGCGTCGGCGACCTTGGTCGCGCGGTCGGCCACCGGGAGCCCCCGGGCCTCGACAAGCCGGATCTTGATCGTGCAGGGCATGGCCGAAAAAATATGGCACTCTTCTACCGAGAGATATGGATTTCAGAGTGTTCTACTAACGAGGGAGCTGGTGCCCACGCAAGATCGCGCACGGTCGTTTTGATTGGCGGTCCCAAGCGTCGCCACGACCATTGGCCGTGTATCATGTGTTGCGGAGGGAAGCCAGGTTCCATGAACACGGAAGACCGCGCCAAGGACCGCGACGATCTCACGCTCTGCGAGTGCATGCAGGTCGTCAAGCCGTGGCGTGTGACGTCCGACGATGACGTCTTGAGCAAGTGGGAACATGTTGCCAAGATCATGACCGAGTACGCTGCGTACTCCGTCAAGATGACTGCGGTGACGTCAATGGAGCGCTGGGAAAAGCTTCGAGCGCGCAGCAAAGACCCATCGTTCGGCAATGACGTCTCTCCAGAGCTCCAGTCCATCGTCCGCGACCTTGTCCGGCAAATCGAAACGAAACGTAGCCCGAGCAACCAACCAAACGCGACATTGGTCCTCGGTAGCGCGGCGGTCGCTGGCGCGGTCGCTGCTCCGGTGGCGACCACGGCTGTCG